GCTTCAGAGCTCCTCTGACTGCGTTCTAGGACCAAATGCTCCCCCTTTCTAAACCTCGATGTTCTCATTTGTAAAGTGGGGAGATTCCACTGACTGGAAGAAAAGATTCGAATACGAAGACAGCGTATTTTCTTTGGGTGATGAAATTGAGAGGAAATTTTTTTCTGTATTTCCACATTTGATGCCATGAACATAGAGGATGTCCCGAATTCTTAAAAACTCTTCAGGGGGGATATCCTGAATTTTAAAAAATTCTTCAGTTCAAGAGTGTGAGATACATCTTTAACATGTCAAGGGCATGAGTCTAGCAACCCACATCAATGTGTCTGATACACAGACACACACAGTTCAGCATTTTATTTTTTTTTTAGCCGCCACAACCCAGTGGGTAGGTGCCGGGCGCCCTTTTTAACCCTTGGCCACAGAAAAGGCAAACGAGGCTTAAGAGAACTCAGGATGATTGGCAAGGGCTGGCCGTCAGACTCAACTCCAGAGCCCTGTTCCTCGTCGCTAGCCGGACCGCCCCTGAAGCTGGGTCTACTCTCGGTTGAAGCCGTTTCTACCAGGAGCCCTGGGCAAGAAGGGGAACGGTGTTAAGGCAAACTTTGTGAGACCCTGGAGTCCAGAGCAACGCTTCCAAGTTCCTGAGGACCTCGCTGAGTCGCAGCGTGTGGGCAGAAGCCGTTCTCCTCATTCTACACAGAGCCTCACACGGCTCAGGCATCCTGGGAAATGGGGCTTTGGAGTCCCGGGAGATGGGGCCTCGACACGGCCCTGCCCATGCAGCAGCCTGTCCCAGAGCAAGCCGACTGCAGGGGTGGGCGGTGCTCACAGCAGAGCCCAGGGCAGGTCTTGAGCCAGACAGCGCTGAGCCCCTAAGACACCCGGGCCCTTTAAGTCACGGCCAAGTTCCTGGGTAGGCAGGCAAGGGCCTGACTCACACCAGCAAATGCTTGGGCCTATGTTTGCCAGCATTCAAAGCAGACTATGATTTCCCCAGGAGCCTCACAAATTCCTCCGAGTCAGGGCCTCTCTGTCACCCAGGGTGCTCAGAGCTGCGTCCAGCCCTCCCCTCCGGGTGTTGCTCTCTGCTCTGGGCCACTGTCGTGTTCTCTCCATTGGCAGCCGTGGGAGAGGCGACAGCCACCGGGTTGACGGCCGGCAGCATTTGCTGAGGGCTGGCCTGCTGCTCCGGCCGAGCCAGGTATTGAGCTAAGTGCCATCTGGAAATCGACTCACTCAACCTCCACAGCAGCTCTGGGAGAGAGTGCAGTGACACCACCACAGCTCGCTAGAGCCTTGAGGTCCTGGGCTCAAGCGATCCTCCCACCTCAGCCTCCTGAGTAGCTGGGACTATAGACGCAAACCCTCACACCTGGGTCATTTTAAGATTTTTGAGAGAGGAGGGCTCTCGATATCGCAATGCTGCAACATAGAGCCGGCTGGTCTTGAACTTCCCCCAAACCTTACCGTGGGCCCCTCTGAGGACCAGCGCTTGTGCCCTCCTGGCAGCTGCACCCCTCGGGGGTGGCTCTCGGACTGTCGGCCCTCTCTCCCACCCCGAGCCCTCAAGGCCCAGGTCCCCACCCGTCCCCCTTTTCCTATGACCGCATCTCTGCCACCTCTGGGGCAAACGCCCCACCGCTTCTGCCGCCGCCACTCGTGCCTGTCCCGTGGAGCTTCCGCCCCTTGGCTCTGCCTCTCCTCCTCTGCAGGTGGCACTCGCACACAGGAGGTGCTCCGCCAAATAAGGGGGCCCAGGCCTCCCCGGCCCCGCACTTGGAGTGGAAGTCAGAGCCAGAGGAGCGAGGCCCTGAAGGCCCCCTCCAGAGGACGTTTCTACAAGGACCGGGCCTAAACCCCAGCTCCGCCACTCACCAGCTGTCCGAGCTTAGCAGATCACCTCCCTGCATCACCTCTTTGAAATGGGCCCAGTAACTCTCCGTCACAGAGCTGCTGTGGAGATTAAATGAGGCGATTCCCAGATGGCCCTTGGATCAATACCTGACCTGGCTGCAGCAGCAGGCCGGCCCTCAGCCAGCGCTGCTGGCCGTCAACCCGGTGGCTGTCGCCTCTCCCACGGCTGCCAATGGAGAGAACACGACAGTGGCCCAGATATCCGCACAAACCCTCCTCTGGCGGGGGCAGGAGGGGCGGCAGCCTCTGCTCTGGGAGAGTCGCGGGAGACGAGGATTCTTCTGGAAACAAGGGGACAGAAGGGAAGGCTGCCCGGGCCCTGCCCCTCCCAGCCAGGAGGCCCCCGCAGGGCCACCCTCGTGAGCCGGCATCGGCGAGCCCCACCCCCCATCTCCCTGCTGCCCGCTGGGGAGACCTCAAGCCCCGCCTTACAGGCTTCCGAGAAGGTTCCTAAGGGACCCCGAGGGGGCACAGAGTAGGCACCAACTGCATGCCGGGGAGCGTGTGGAGGCTCCGGAGTGCGAGCGGGGGGTGTGGAGGGCCAGACTTAAGGGCGCTGCGCCCCCAACCTGGAGGGGCTGCACTCAACCCTGGACCAAAACGCCACGACAGCCCCGTCTGTGTCTGATAAGCCTGGTGACAGCATCGTGCTCAGAGTCAAGCTTTTGCCCTGCTGCCAAATGAAAGTTTCAACTTCAAATAACGACAGTAAACACAGATAACAACTTTACATGACTTTTATTTAATAAAACCACATATTTACAATTCAAAAAGTTCTACTTTGTTCCATTTTACTCAATAAAATTAAAGGTTAACTGTACAAGCAATTAAAACATGATATGTAGCAAGTGTTACCAGTTTCCAGCAAACTATTTAAAATAGTCAAAAACGGAGCAGGTAAAAAGTACCTTTTGAAGTGAACGTTGTTTCCCAATGAGATCCCGGTGACGGAGGGAGAGGCGGCCGCCCACCCTAAAGCATCCTGGCCTGGAGCCAGTTCTGGAAGTTGACGGCATGTGGAGCGGGCAGGACTCGGAGGGTGGCATTTCGACCTGCTTCCAGTTTCCCTAAACCATGACCCAGGCAGAGGAGCGCCCTCTTCCTCTCCAGCAGCCCCGTGGAAAGGGCCCAAGTGACCCTCAACAGGGACACAGCTTTCTGGGCTCTGAAAAGGATGCCTCAAACTGGCGAGACTTCACGGGATCCCAGAACTGGAGGTCGGGTAAGTGTCCCGAGACGGGCAAGGACTCCTGCCTAAAAGCTCAGTGCCTTCATGGCGCGATCCAAAGTGCTTCACATCAGGCTGCCAGACAAGAACTGTCACGAGCTGGTTCTGAACACACGAAGCTTCACAAGCATATTCCGAACAAGTCGCACAAGGGCCCTCGCAGCAGCTCTCGCTGTATGACTTCAGGAACGTCTTTGTGTACCGTAAGAAAACATATACATCTTGAAAGAACGGAACGCCAAGTCATGGAACAAAAGTGAGTCCATCTGCGAGGAACGGCAGGTGTGGGGCTCCGGCGGCCCCGCCCCCCAGGTCCGGTTCTCTCTGGGCTACACTCAACATCTCGATGTCAGGAAATGTCTAGGCCTGGAGGCTGCCGAGACCCCCAGTGAAGACAGATCGCCCTTCCAAGAGGTGAGGCGAGTCAGCATTCAAAGGCTGAGGCAGAAAGTGGGATCCATGATGCTCTGCAGCCTCTCTGGAGATTCAGTTTAAAACGTGACGGGGGAAAAGGAGATTCCAGGAAAGACACCACATGGGACCGCACTGGGCTGGAGGCGCGAGGACGAGCACTGGCTCCGCAACTTGCTCCTGTTCCTAGCGGGAGCACTAGGGTACGGCAGACACAGAAAACCTAGAAAAATAGTGCCAGTTCAGCTGTGTTCTCCCAACCCCAGGGTCCCTGTCGTGTGCTAAAACGACACAGCCAAAGTCTCCCTGACATCAGAAGCGAGATCAGCCACAGGGGCGTCACCCGGTGGGAAGTCTGGCTGAGAAGGGCCATAGAGGGCAGACCGCACCAGGGCACGCACAGCTGAGCCTGTGACCTGTCTGCGAGCCTCCCGGAGACCAGCAGGCCCAAGGAGCCCCACGTGGGAGTCTGCTTCCACCCATACTGGTCTGGCCCAGACTATCCTGTGCAAAACTGCTTCATCTCTAGGAGTTTGAATAGCCAAAGTTCATATACAAAGTTCTCAAAATTAGTCAAGGAAAGCCTAGAACAAAAAATGTGCCAATGGCCTTGGGAAAACCAGCTAAGACGGGCAAGGGCTGATGGTGTAGACGCTGAGCATGTGACGAGCACGCCAGGGCTGCTACGTGTGGCGCTCTCTCCTCCAGCCGCGTAACGGATCCTGAAGCTCACACTCGAAGTCAACGGCTTGAGGAGGGCCTCCCTGGCACTTAGGACTGATCCAGCTGTTCCGGGGACAAGGCAAAGAGGAGCACTCTGTTATAGCAGGAGTACCCTCCCACATGGGCTGTTTCCACGGGCCGCACCTCTTACCTGGCCCCTACAAAACAAGAGGCGTGGCAGAGGGCCTTGTCTTGCACCCTCTTTCCCGACCCTCTACCTAGAGGGTGGGAGCTGCTTCCATGCTGTCTTTGCCAGTTCTTAAGCCTGTCTCTACGGCCACTGGCCGTCTGCAAAGAGCTCCTCCTGCTTGAACTTTCCACCTTGCTCCACAGGTGAGTCTCTCGAGAGCAGGTTCCCACCAGAGCTGGAGTGTGCACTGTCGCCTTCAGGCTGACTGTGTCAAGGCAACAGGGTGAGACATCAGCCTGTGGTGGGTGGGTTCCCAGGAAGCCCATGAGACTGGCCAGCAACCCTCCTTGCAGAGACTGTTTTCCTTTCCTGCTATCTTTGGTAGGTGGGTTTTCAACCATGACCTCAGCTCTGGAAAGATGATCTCAATAATTCAATCAGCAATCCCTTTCTTATCTAAAATATGTAAATATGGGCCACTAACATCTCTGACATCTCCCAGATGACATTTCTCATGCATCTTGGCTAAGAGAGATCGCACTTTCCAGCAGGTGACACAGAAGTGGAAGTAATGTACTTTCCAGCAGTTGGCATAGAAGCAGTACAATTTAATTTACTTTTGCTGAAATAAAGAGGGGGACGTCAGCCAGTGCTCTATCATTAAACCATGCAGAAATGCAGTGGTGGGCACACCAGGTCACCGTTCCACTGAGCTTAAGGCTAAGCCTTGGTTTAATTCTTTAAAAGTCTGTGTGTTTTGTTTAAGGCCAACTCCAGTGTTAGGAATCAAACTTAAAAAAAAGGGCCCCTCCTTCTCAGCTGCCAGGGTGTCAGTCTGGAGCAACACAGGGGCCGCGCAGAGCTCTGCTTCAGTGCCAAGCACGAGTTGCATCTGTAGCCTCAGTGTCTGAGGGATGGGCTTCCCTTCTCCATTTCCCGGCTGTCTTTCTGCAACGCAGTCAGTACCTGGAAACCACAAGGGAACACGTCCGAGGTTACTCTACTGCATACACTGAACAGAGAATCCCGGCAGGACCGAGCCAGATGCTGCATCCTGAAACACAAGCAGCAAAGGACTGGCTGAGCTCGCCCCACTTCGGCCACCTTCGCGCTCTGGGGCGTCCTGCACCACCCAGCCGGAGTGGCCTTCCCAGCACAGGCACCTGGTCATGCCATCTTGGGGCTGCGGGCTAGCTCCCGTGCCCAGGTCCTATCCCTTCTGCACCAGGAAGCCTGCCTCCTCTGAAGCCCAGCAGACAGTGCCTCTTCCCAACATCCTGCTAAGCGTTCCTCTCTGTGCTCCCCTAGTTCTTGGTCAACATCTTTATTTGAAAAGCGATTCGTCCAGGCTCGGTGGCTCAGCCTGTCATCCCAGCACTTTAGGAGACCGAGGCGAGGGGCTTGCCTGAGCCCGCGGGTTCGAGACCAGACGGACAACCTGGCGAGACCTCGCCCCTACAATAATAAACCAAAACTTAGCTGGGCACGGTGGCACACGCCTGTAGCTCTGGCGACCTGGAAGGCCGAAGCGGAAGGACCGCCGGAGCCCAGCAGGTCAGCGCTGGGGTGGCCGTGAGTGTGCCTCTGCACTCCAGCCTGGGCGACGGAGTGAGACTCCAACAATGAATGAATGAACGAACGAACGGAGGAATGTGATTCCATGAAAATCCAGCTCAAAAAAAACCACGTAGCGAATGAATGAATGGGCGAGATCCCGCTCCGCCACGGCTGAGCCACAACCGGGGTAAGGACAGAAGCCCCCGCCCGGCGCCCCCGCCACGGCGCCGCGCCCGCACGTCGGCCTCAGGCAGGCGAGGGCCTGGCACGAAGGGCCTGCCAGCGACACGGCGGCCGCCCCCGCTGCAGTCCAAGAGCTCGTGAGGACGCAAGCCCCCGTCGGCCAGCCTCAAAACCCGGAGCCTCTCGGGAGCACAGTGCCGTCTGCGGGGCCGGGCACAAGCCACTCGGAGTCGCAGCTGCAAGAGGAAAGCAGGACGTTTCCCAGGGGCTGTGATAAAGTCGCAGGAAAGGGACAAAGGCAGGCGAAAGTCCTCCCCACCTCTCCAGAAATGCGACTGCCGAGGGCGCACAACGTGTCCTTGCGCTGAGAGGGCTCGCCGGCCTCTCAACCTGAAGCAGAAGTCCCGTGAGACCCTGACCTGGGCGAAACATGCTGATGCCCAAGCTCTCTCCACCGTCAGGCTGACTCCCATCACGGCCCCATTCGTTAGAACATGTCCCATTAGTAAAATGACCCCTGTTCTAGTTACAACCAGTTTTTACCTCATCTCTAAAATGCAAGATCAAAACGGCAGGTTTAGGTCTAGTTCCTCCCGCTGTGTGTGGGTGTGCGATGTGTACATGGGTGACCTGTGTATGTGTGGGTATATGTGTGTGGGTATACAGTGTGCACGTGCATGGGTGATCTGTGTATGTAAATGTGTAGGTGTACAACGTGTGTGTGGGGAGGTGACCTGTGTATGTGTGAGTGTGCAATGCATGCACGTGTGGGTGACGGTATTATCTGTGCATGTGTAACGTGCATATGCATGGGTGATCAGTGTACGTGTGCATGGGTGTGCAATGTGTATGTGATACGTATGTGTGTGGGTGTACAATGTGTGTGCATGTATGAGAGGCTGGCAAAAGAGCCTCTATCTCTTAGGAAAGAGACAGCCTGATAATGTAGAAAACGGCTCCATTTGCCAAATAAACTTGAAATCTGAAAAAGTCTTCAGATCTAACTATCAATGTATAGGAAACACAGAGAAGCATGTCCAACGCCACCACGGGGATATGGCAGGAGAATCCAGATTGTGGGAAATGTTACAGGACGAATGACCAGTTTTCTTCAACAAGTAAAGGTGGGTGAGAGAGGGACAGAAGGTAAGAAGTGGGTAGCACATCTCTTTTTTTTGAGTTGGAGCCTCACTCCATCGCCCAGGCTAGAGTGCAGCGGCATGCTCACGGCCACCACAGCCCTGATCTGCTGGGTTCTGGTGATTCTTCCACCTCAGCCTTTCCCACCTCAGCTTTCCAAGTAGCCAGAACTACAGGTGCACGCTACCACACCTGGCTAATCTTTGATTTATTGTAGGGATGAGGTCTCAGCAAGCTGCCCAGGCTGGTCTTGGACCCCTGGGCTCCAGCAATCCTCTTGCCTCAGGCTCCCAAAGTGCTGGGATTACAGGCTTGAGCCACTGTGCACTTTTAAACAGCTCAAAAGTGGCAGGACGCAGTGGAAGGATCGCCCGAGCCCAGCAGGTGACACTGGGGTGGCCGTGAGTGTGCCACTGCCCTCCAGCCTGGGCGACAGAGTAAGACTCCAAATCCAAAGGAAAAAAAGGCTCAAAAGCACTTTTTCTCAATCACAACGCATGGACCTTAAATGGATCTTGATTCAAACAAACTGGAAAGCCTATTATGACATTGAAACAACTAGAAAATCGAAAACAGAACATCTGAGGATAGCAAGGCATCAGTAACTTTTTAAGCAATGACAGGACTGCAGCTGTGTTGCAAGAGCCCCCGTGGCTTGGAGATGCAGGACACTGACAGAGGGAGTGGCGGGGCACGGCTGAAACAGGGCAGTCCCGCTTCCACGGTCTCTGAAGCAGAAGGACCGGTGCATGGGGGCTTGTTACTCGATTTCCGTACATATTTCACATCTCCCACTTGGAAAAAAGTTAAACAACAACAGGCATTCTTTAGCGCATATGAAAAAGCATAAGCCTTCACGGGGGTCAACCAACAAGGACCTGGAGCTGATACGGCGCACAGGCCAGAGTCAGGCGCCACGGCTGGCCTTTTTCCCCTTTTGGGTGGAGACTTCTCCCCTCTGAGGACACAGACGATGCGGCCAGCCCCGCAGGGGACCAGGCCTAAGAGGGGCACCTGGGGAGACCCCAGGCTGGAGGGGCCCAGGCAGTCAGCTCCGCTGCTCAGTGCAGCCACTAGAGGGCAGAGCGGCGCCTCGGATGGGAAGAGCCCGGAGGGCCTCCCTTTTCTGTGACGACCGCGGGATGGCCCCACTTCCTTCGCGAGGCACGCGAGAGCCGCCGCAGGACGGCCCAGGGGCCCAGGGACGCGGCCCCTCGGCTTGCTGTCTCTGGCACCAATTTTAGAAAAAGAGGGAGGGCTTGCAAAACGCTTTCTGACATGCGCGAGCACGGCCGCGGCGATGAGACGTGCCGGTCCTCCGGATGCCACCGCAGAGCAGGCGAGGAGGCTCTCGTTACCCACAGCCCCCCGCTGACAGAAACCCAGAGAGGAGGGACTTGCCCCAGACACCCCTTGGCGCTCCAGAGCCCAGCCTTAAACCCAGCTCTCCTCGCTTCCAGCCCAGGGAGCGTTTCAAAGAGGCCAGCTTTTCAATGAGCACCGCAAGCAGCCTCCCCTCCTAAACTGCTCCACGGGGCCAGGCCACTCTGCGGAGAAAAAGCCAACAGAAAGGCCACTCGCCTGGGCCCACTTCTTGTTCCGACTCTGCATCTGAACCGTGGCGATGGAGGTGAACAGCTCCTCGGCAGGCAGGCCCTCGGGCAGCCTGGTCAGGAACTGGGCCATGTGGATGAAGTCCATCTTGGTCAGGATGTCCTCGAACAGCTTCAGGACGCCCAGCGCCGTGCGGAAGAGGAACTCCTCCCCGTCTCGACAGAACACATCCCAGATCCGGCAGGCCAAGTCGAGGGGCAGAGACTTGCTGTATAAGGTGAAGATCCTGGGGAAAAGGTTTCACACTTTGAGCCACACAAAGAACGAAATGGGAAGGCAAGCCTGACTCCATGGAAAACTCTCCCGAGTGAGTTGCTTCCGTGTAACACACGGCAGGGGGACTAGGCCTGCACTCACATAAGGGCAGCGTTAACATTGTGGGAAACAGCACTGCTGGCTTTCGCACAGAATCTCACACAGCATCTGGCTGCTGAAAGGTTGATCCCGATTTCTCCTACCTGCAAGGAGGATCTACCAAGTGCCACCACGTGCTTACTCTGTGGTGGACAAGCAGCCTTAGTGGCCATCATACCCAGCACTGACCACAGCGCAGGCAGACAGCAGGTGCTCATCCTCACAGCAGGTGCTGTGAGCCTCGCCTCGGAGACCAGCCCCGACAGGTGTCTCCTCCCGAGAACGGCGAGAGGCTCCCTCGGCTCTGGGCTCCCGCAGCCCAGCCCTGCCTCGGTGTGCACGCCCACGTCTGCTCGTCTTCACCGCGGGGCTGCCCAATGGTCCCAATCCTCAGCATCGAGGGCAGCATCTGGCCGTCTTTCCCAGGCTGCTTGGGCTTTCACAGACGTCCTCAACACCTGTCCTCACTGACCGTCCTCATCACAAGGGGCAACTCCCAGTGGGGCGGGGGGTATTCCCTCCCCGCCTGGAAAATCACTCTTCCACAGAGTTCAGTGTTTCCTGTGCTGACTCAGCAGGTGAGGTGGGGCCCGTGGAAGCACCTGAGCTGCTGGTGCTGGACTCAGCCTGAGCAACGCCATCTCCTTCCGCAGCGCGACCCTGACTCTCCGAGAACAGACCCCACCAGCCATCCCCCTACACTGGCAGAGCTGATCACAGACCAGAGGCGTGGACCTCTGCCTGCAGTGAACCCCAGGATGCGGCTCACCCCGAACTCTGCCCTGGGGGCCGCTGCCCTAGAGGCCACCGGTGCCCCAGGACCCAGAGAGGCACTGGACAGCTGAGGCCGCGCACCACCAACAGTGCGTGGCTGCCGGTCGAGACGAACAACGGCCCAGGCAATCCCTCACCGGTACCTCATCAGATACTCAAGGAAGGCTAACAGTGTAGATTTCACCCAACTCAGATGGAATAGACAGATGCCACAGAAAACCCATGCATCACGAAAACAGCAGAAGCCGGCGTCCTACTGGGTGCTGCGCACCACACTACCCCAGCACTCCAGAAGCACAGCTCACCCCAACAGCCGGTGCCGCCCTGGGGAGGGTCTCTCTCGCTTCAGCTCGGCTGAGGAACCCAGCCTCAGGGTGGCAAACAGACCCAGGTCTCGCCACCAGCAAGTGACAGAGCCGGACGCTGAACCTGACTCCGAAGCTCATGCTCTAACGTCTGTGCAACACCACAGGCTGTCAGGCAACACGCTGCCACAGTATCAGTAGGAGATTCTCTTTTTAAAAGTCACAAAAAGCCTTCGAAGAGCCCGGAATTACCTCAAAAGCAAAAAACCGTTTCATAATGGTCTACAAAATACAGTTAGAGTAAAATCAAAGAGATCTTCTGCTTCTATCCTCAATCTAGAAAATAATTTCAGTTGGATCCAGAGAGCATGCTTATTAACAACATTATTTTCAAAAGAACTGACCTGATTCATACACTACTATCTCTTGTGTGCCAGCTTATATGTGGAAATCAAAACCCAACACCCTCTTAAAAGCAGAGTCATAAGAAAAAAACCGATGGGGAAAAGAAAGTAGCTACAGGCAGAAAAGAGGGAAAATGAGAACAAAACATAATCTTCCTTTCCCCCCCAAAGCCCACCCAAAGTAAACCTTTTTTTCTTTTTGTATTTAACATACAGTTAAACTGAGTTCAGGTGTGTGTGGGTCTCCCCAAACTACTTCAGGCTCTGAACTTTATAGAATTAAGCCAGCCCAGAATGCCACACGCAGTGCCCACCTGCTGAGTCTTCACCCCACCCTGGGCGCCACCATCTCTCTCTCCCAGAGACATCTGGCTGAGGTCGGAGCCAGTTATCTGGTTCTAAGCAGGTCAATCCATTTATCATAAATATTTCTTGAAGCCTACTGTATGCTGTTCTTTGGTGATGAGGACACAGGACAAGACAGACAACATCCCCTGCTCTCGAGGGTGGTCGTCGAGAACAGCCCATCACTGAAAAAAGACACTGTCCTAAACCTCTGAGGAGGAAGCAGCAAGCCGGGAGAGCATGTCTGGAAGGCATCCAGGCAGAGGAAGCTGCAGGCCACAGCTCGGAGGCAGGACTGAAGCCTGTCCACGCAGGGCGCAAGGCAACCAGGGGGTGGGGGCAGAGAACAGCCACGGGAGAGGGAGTCAAGGTGCCCAAGGGAGCAGGACTTCCGGCTACGACGCGCCCTGGAGGTTTTCTTCCGAGTGAAATGGGGGGCCAGCGGAGTGCCTGGAGGGAACGGCGCCTCGAGGGGCAGAGGCAGAAGCGAAGAGGCCAACCAGGCAGCTCCGGCTGGGATCCAGGCAAGGAGGGATGGAGCGCAGCAGGAGCAGCGGACGCGGCCGAGGAGGCGGGATCCAGACACAGGAAATGGCCACGCAAGCTGCAGCACCAAGGATGCTGTGTCTTGGTCCGAACCGGAAGGATGGAGCTGTCACAGAAGGGGACACAGAGTCTGGCGGGAACAGAAGTCAAGCGCTGAGTACTGAGCCATGTTAAGTTCGAGAGTCAGACATCCAAGAGGACAAAGGAATTGATCTCCAGTGCCAGGAGGGACCTCTGGGCGGGTGACACACACTGGGGACAGTCTGCGTACAGACAGGCCCACATCAAGAAGGACTGCAAGGATCAGAGAGTGAAGACTCAAAGGCTGCCGAAACTCCAGCAGGTCTGACGACTGAATGCCCAGCCTGTACGTCATGTACAAAGGCGTAACAAGGGCAACCCCTTCGGGCCCCCTCCCACCGTGGAGCTTCTCCGTGCTCTCAGTAAATCCTGCTTCCTCACGTTCCGGCCAGCCGTGTCCCTCATTCCTCCGAGGCGTGAGACAAGAAGCCCGACCTGAAGAGCTGCAGAAGATCACTGGAGCCGAAGAGCTGTGTACCCCAGAGGCTGGCGTGCCAGCCGACGGAGCAGGCCGAACCAGGGGAGCTGCTGGAAGAAGGCGAGACTCCCAAGCTGAGACACTCAGGAGGTCAGGCCTGCCAGCCCACCGACCCAGCAACTCTCAGGGCCTGGCCTGCCCGCACTTTAGGCCCAACACTTCCGGGGATAGGCTTCCTAGCCCCTGGACGACCCTCTGGGGCTTGACTGGCCGACCCACCGAGCTGACACTCTCGAAGCCCAGGCTGACCTGAGAAATCTGCATCACTCTGAGTTGTCTCTTTCCAATAAAGGAGCATTAACACTCAGACAGAAAAAAAGAAAGGTAGGACTGCACCTTGCTTGTATCACTGACTGACGTCATGTGCTGAAATGAAGTAACTGAGGCCTTGAACGTCATCATATCGTAAAGAAAACGTGTCTCAGCCGGGCTCGGTGGCTCGGCCTGTAATCCCGAGCCTCGCAAAGCTGAGGTGAGTGGACTGCCTGAGCCCGTGGGTTTACTTGGTGAGACCTCATCTCTACACTAAATAAAAAATCAGCCGGGCGTGGTAGTGCGTGCCTGTAGTTCTGGCTACTTGGAAGGCTGAGGCGGAAGGATCGCCGGAGCCCAGTAGGTCGAGGCTGCGGGGGCCGGGAGCGGCCACTGCACTCTAGTCTGGGTGACAGAGTGAGACTGCAACTCCCAAAAAAAAAAAAGAAAGAAAGAAAGTGTCTCTTTTCAAGAAGAAAAATGTCTACCTTTCACTTGGAAAACGTTTCCTCACCCAACTCTCAGCCTAGGTGTCTGTTCTTGGAAGGCTGTTTCCTGACCCTTGGGTTGGCCCAGGTTTCCTGCAAAGTGTCCACACTGCACCTCATGCACCCCTTTCATAACGGTCGTCAGCATCAGCCCACGAGCGTCTGAGACAGCACAGTGCTGGCGAGAAACAGATCTTCCTTTACACTTTGTCAGCCTGGCTTCCTGCACCGTTCCCATCTTCTGAGCCCTAGCAGGCTCTGGCGGGCCTCTCAGCAACCAGCTCCCAGTCCTTCTGCTGCAGTCAGGACCACCCCAGACAGGACCACCCCATGGCCTCTCCAGCCCCTGGGCTCCACTCTCGACAGCCCCGAGCTGTCCTAAGCTATCTCCACCCCCTGCCCTAGACTGCAAGAGCTTCAAGGGCGGAGACCTCTGTCCCCAGCAGTATCTGAACAGTGAGGGTCTTCTCCCTCCAACCTGCTCTCCCCTGAGCCAGGACCGCCAGAGATGCTCCCACAACACTGCCAGCAGCTTTCAGATGCTGGGCTGTATTTAAGCCACTTTTAGATTCAAAAGCCAGCTGTGAAAGGCACTAAAACAATCCTCTCAGGAAACCAGTTTTAGGCAGTGCCCTTCACACAGCTGGAAAGCTCACAGACCCAGGAGGGGACATCAGGCTCTATCCTGGTCCCGCAGAGACCCTGCCATGGATCAGAAGCAATCAGAATAAGAGGCTGCTGTCCACACGCCCTCTCGGTCTCCAGGCCTTCAAGTCCACTTTTCCCCTGCTGTGCCCTCAGGCTCCATCCTGCTCCAGCCAGGTGATTGCACAGAAAAAGGGCCAGGCAGGGAAAGCCCCCTTGGCCTCCCCAGAGCCAGCTCAGTGCCCTTTCCACAGCAGGAAGACAGAATTTCAAGGACTCTTATCTCCCAAGAAATGTGTATGTATCCCTGCTGCCCCTGCATATTATTGCATTGTGCATCAAAATGATAATTTCAAAAAAAAGTAAAAAAGAAAAAGCTTTTTAAAAAGTAATTCTAAAAAATCTCAGCTGTAAGTTCAATGAACGCAAAACAATGTATTTCCAAGTTGCTAAATGAAAGAAGTAGCCATCAGCTTATAAAAGACACCAAGCAAGCCAGGCTCAGTGGCTCAGCCTGTAATCCCGCGCCTTTGGGAGGCTGAAGTGAGTGGATT